TTTTCGAGATTGTTCATATTTTTAGATATTTGGAAAATAATTTTTGGGCAGATTTTCAGGAAATATTTTCCAATTTGAAAGGGAAAATTTTTATAAGAAAGAAATAAATAAATTGACGAAATGAGCGGTAATATATTTTTGTACGATTTCAATGGATCGGTGCAGAGGAATAAACTACAGGACGCGATTTTTAGAGATTTGGTGAGTTGTGTGTATTGTTATTGTTTATTATTATTTATTGTTATTTATTTATTATTATTATTTATTGTTATTATTGTTATTTATTATTATTCATTATTATTATTATTGTTATTATTGTTGGTTTTGTGATGTTTGATAGTGTTGTTTGAGGCTCAAAAGGATGAGTTCATGAAGCGACTGGAAGAGGAGCGGGTGGAACGCCAACTTTTGGCAAAGTGGGTGTGACAGTGGTGTTTTTATTGTTTTGGCATATTGCCAAGTTTTTTAATTTTCAGAAATTAAGGATTTTTTTTCGGAATTTCCTTGTATTTTATGGCGGTTTTGAGAAATTTTCCGGTTTTATGGAATATTTGGATGGGGAAAATTTTTAGGAAAAAATCAGCGGCCATAAAAATCCAGTCTTGGTACCGTGCCAACCGCACGCGTCGCCGGTTCCACGCGTTGCTGCGGCAGAATTTCGATGCGGTGGGCAAAGTGGCCACGTTGGACGTGTTGAGTGCGCAGATTGCACGATTGGTGCTATTTTTTAAAGCGAGTGAAGATTTGGGCAGAACGGTGAGTGAGGGGGCGGGCGGGTGATTTTTACAGTTTTTAGTGTTGTTATTGTTTTTAATATTTATTATTGTTTATTATTATTTATTATTGTTGTTGTTTTTTATTGTATTTATTCATTACTGATGTTTATTATGGTTGATATTGTATTCGTGACTGTATTTCAATTGATATGTTTGAGTTTGATTAGAGTTGTGGAGAATTTGGCTCATTGCCAGAATGCGAAATTTTTGGCGAATCGTGCGTTCCCTGTAGATTTGAAATGGATTTGGCAAACTTGCCCTCTACGATGTATAAGTAGTAGTTAGTAGTTGATCGTTGAGGTTTTCATTTCATTTCAGATGCAACTTTGTACTGATGCGGTTGCGTTGGCCCAGCCTCAGCCTCAGGTACAAGAGCGATGTCTTTCGGCGCTAAAATGTCGCCAGCTGGTGCGTTGTGTGGTGGGTGCGTTGCCTGCGATACGACCGACTTGCTCGTATTCGAATTATATACCGGCATTGCGGTGTTTGGAGGTGTATTTGAGGGATGAGAGGGAGACGGTGCACTCGTTGGCGGAGTATTTTAGGGCGATTGTGGCGTTGTACGCGAATAATTTTGAGTTGAAACAACGTGAGTGAATTGTTTTGTGTTATTGTTGCTGTTATTGTGATTAGTGTTATTGTTTGGGAAGTGGTGAGGGTTAGGTGGAAGTTGGGTGGGGTTGGTTTGGGTAAAGTTGACTTTAGGGTGAGTTGATTTGGGTAATATTGATTTGGATGGCGTTAATTTGGGTAGGGTTGATTTGGGTAACGTTGGTTTGGGTGGCGTTGATTCGGGTAACGTTGATTTGGGTAATATTGATTTGGGTAGTATTGATTCGGGTAACGTTGATTTGGGTAATATTGATTTGGGTGGCGTTAACTCTGGTATCGGTGGCTTTTAGTGTTTTTGGTAGCGTTAACCTTTGGTATCGTTAGTTTTTGGTACCCGTGATTCGGGTAATGTTAATTTTTAGTACCC